GTAGATTTATGGAACAGAATAGAGAACCAAGTGATGAACCCAGCTACCTATTGCCATTTGATCTTCGACAAGCCTATCAAAAATATTCTGTGGGGAAAAGACTCCCTATTTAACAAATGGCGCTGGGTGAGCTGGCTGGCGACCTGTAGAAGATTGAAACTGGGCCCCCACCTTTCACCATTAACAAAAATTGACTCTCATTGGATAAAAGATTTAAATTTCAGACATGAAACTATAAAAATATGAGAAGAGAGTGCAGGGAAAACGCTTGAAGAAACTGGCCTGGGAGAATATTTTATGAGGAGGACCCCTTCTTCCCCCCAGGCAATTGAAGCAAGACCAAAAATCTATTATTGGGATCTGGTCAAGCTAAACATCTTTGCACGGCCAAGAGCACAGTAAGTAAAGCAAACAAACAACCTTCAGAATGGAAGAAGATATTTGCAGGTTATGTTTCCAACAAAGGTCTGATAACTAGAATCTACAGAGAACTCAAACTAATCAATAAGAAAAGAATAAATAACCACAATTCCATGCAGGCAAGAGACTTGAACAGAAACTTCTCTGATGAAGACAGGAATATGGCCTACAAACATATGAAAAAATGCTCATCATCCTTAATCATCAGAGAAACGCAAATCAAAACCCCTTTGAGATATCATCTAAATCCAGTAAGATTAGCCCATATCACAACATCCCCAAACTACAGATGTTGGTGTGGATGCAGAGAGAAGGGAACGTTTCTGCACTGCTGGTGGGAATGCAGGCTAATACAACTTTTTTGGAAAGACGTTTGGAGAACACTCAAGGAACTAAAAGTAGACCTGCTGTTCAATCCTGCAATTCCTCTGCTAGGTATATACCCAGATGATCAAAAATTATTTTACAACAAAGACATTTGCACCAGAATGTTTATTGTAGCCCAATTCATAATAGCCAAGACATGGAAACAGCCCAAGTACCCATCGACCCATGAAGAGACCCATGAAGAAACTGTGGTATATGTACACCATGGAATATTATGCAGCCATAAAAAGGATGGAGACTTCACATCTTTTATGTTTACCTGGATGAAGCTGGAACATATTCTTCTTAGTAAAGGATCTCAAGAATGGGAAAAAAAAGTATCCAATGTACTCAATACTACTATGAAATCAATATATAATCACCTACACACTCATATGAATGGCAAAACATAACTATAGTCCAGAAAGCAGGAGGGAAGAGGAGAGAGAGGGGAGGGAGTGGGGATATAGGAGGGAGGGTATTTGGGGGGACCTCACCTAATGTGCATGATGCAATGCTACATTTCAAAACTATTAGGAAATGAGTATTATTGTGATGGATGTGTTACTTAGTTCAATGTAAGCATTTCTCACTGTGTATTAAAGCAGTACCTTGAACCCCAGAAATGCATCAGTGTACAAAGTTATGATTTAATAAAAAAAGGGCAAGACTAGTGTTGGAGGACAGACCCATAGTTGTAAAGAATTATAAGGGGAAGGAAGGTACAACAGGAGAGGGAAATTTTGGCAGGGTGATGAAATTATTTTGGATTCTGGCTAGGCAGGGTGGCTCATGCCTGTAATCCTAGCACTCTGGGAGGCCCAGGGCAAGTGGATCCATTGACCTCAGAAGTTTGAGACCAGCCCCAGCAAAACGAGATCCCACCTGTAGTAAAAATAGAAAAATTATCCAGGTCGTGTGACGTGCCTGTGTTCCTACTTAATTGGGAGCCTGAGGCAGAATTGCTTGAGCCCAGGAATTTGAGGTTGCTGTACCCTAGGCTGAGGCCGTGGCACTCTAGCCTGGGTAACAGAATGAAACTCCGTCTCAAAAAAATAATAATAAATTTAAAAACTAAATTAAAAATAAAGAATTTAAGTATATCTCACACACAGTGAATATTCTGTTTGCATAATTCAAAGAAACGTAATAAAATAAAACCCTGATAGTCCCTTCTGGTTTAAGGATATTGCAACACTTTTGAAACCTTCTATGAGTCCTTTCCCCCAATCACACCCTGCACTCCAGGGTGCCACTATTTGGAATTTGTATTAACCATTACTTTACCATTTACTGCCCCAACTATTAGAAATTTTTTTTTTTTTCCTGTTTTGGGCCGGGGCTGGGTTTGAACCCACCACCTCCAGCATATGGAGCCGGCATCCTACTCCTTTGAGCCACAGGTGCCGCCCAGAAATGCTTTTATTTAAAACAAACCATGCTCAAAATGCCAATGTACAAACAGATACAATCAGGATGTCTCTGGGTAACCAGGACTGGGTTTAAGTCCCAGGCAGGTGGGCTCCGCCTCGCCCCCTACTGGTGGCCGAAAGAACACAGCGAGTTCGAGGTATTTCCGGAGTGCAAAGGACCATAATTCCGGCTAATTTGCATACCCATAACTCACTGAAGACAGTACAACTATTTCCATGGAAAAGCAGTTTTATGTACTGTTCACTTTTTCTAAGGACAAGAACTTTTGTTTGCAGCATTTTTTGTATAAACTTCTGAGGCAGGAACTCTTGGATGAATAGGCACCATCAGTGTACTGGGACTTGCTGTTGCTGGAGAAGTGAATGCAGCGAGCTGAGGGCATACTCTGGCTTCTCTTCAGATCGCATAAGTCTTTCGCCTTTTACTAAAGATTTCCGTGGAGAGAAAGAATTGAGTTTTAAGATAATTTTTTGAGGCTTTGCTTGGACAAAGCTATATGATGGTTGAAAAATAAAGTTTAAAAAGTCTTGTGTGTGTGTTTGATGTAACATTAAATTACATGTGTCATGGCAAAAAGGCAAGTGTTTAAGTTAATATATGTAGATTATTTTAGATGAAATGATTTGTATATTAAGTGATTTTTCTTGCATGAGTCTCCCAGGTGGTTGGAACTACAATTGCCCACCAAGCGGCTGGGACTGGTGGGGCTGCAGATGCCCCCAACATGCGGGTATTTTTTTATTTTTATTTTTTAATTGATTATCTAACCTCCATCTATGTGCATATCCACTGAGCTATGGATGCTGCCCATGTTTTTTTCTTTCTTATTTTCTTTTGTTTTTTTTTTTCATTTTTTTTTCTCTTGAGTTTTGCAATAAATGCTAATACAGGAGTACTTTTCGTGTTCTGCTGTATGGCTATTCATGCATTTTTGCTGCCTGTGGGTGTACTCGGGTCGTTTTCCTCGCAGGAATACAGTCGTAAGACAGATGGGATTTTCAACTTGTAGAAAGCACACGGAATAAAAAAGGAACAGGTAAGTGACGCCCATAATCCTAGCACTCTGGGAGGCCGAGGCAGGTGGAGCCGCC